GATCTCTGCTTTCCACAGCTCAACAGCTCCTGCAGGAAGCCAACACTTCACTGGTCTAAAGCTGTGCTCCTGAACTCTGTGCTGTCCTTTATCTGTCTGATCACTGCAGCTCTCAACCTCTTCGTCATCATCTCAGTCTCCCATTTCAGGCAGAGAATAATTACAAAACAGAATATAGTTTATACAGTATGATATGATAGTAGAACTTATTAACACTGATTATTTTTTTCTTTATGAATAATTAATTTCTGTTTTTCTCCTTTCAGGCAACTCCACACACCCACTAACATCATCCTCTTGTCTTTGGCAGTTTCAGACTTCCTTGTTGGTGTTTTTGRTATGCCTTTAGAAATCTTTAGAAGTTCATCCTGTTGGTTACTTGGAGATATTATATGTGTTTTATTGTATTGTATCATGTGTCAAATTATTTCTACATCAGTAGGAAACATTGCTTTTGTATCAATTGATCGCTACATAGCTATTTGTGACCCTCTACATTATCCCACCAGAATCACTCTGGTAAAAGTCAAACGCTGTATTTGTCTGTGTTGGATTAGTGCTGCTTTCTGCAGCCTTTTTTACATGAAAGATGAGCTGATTCAACCTGGTTGGAGTAGGTCCTGCTTTGGGGAATGTAAAGTAGTAACAAACTATATCATGGGCACCTTTGACCTAATTGTGAACTTTATCTGTCCTGTTATTGTTATCATAGTTCTGTATATGAGAGTATTTGTGGTGGTTGTGTCTCAGGCTCGTGCTATGCGCTCTCACACCACAGCTGCTGCACTCCAGAAATCAGGTATTTTAAAAACAAAGAAATCTGAGTTCAAAGCAGCCAGGAATCTTGGTGTTCTTGTATTTGTGTTTTTATTATGTATTTGTCCATATTACTGTGTCTTTTTTGCTGTGAGTGATGAGCCAGATGCATCATCAAATGTTTATACAACATTTTTGTTCTATTTAAATTCCTGTATAAACCCTGTGATGTACACACTTTTTTACCCCTGGTTCAGAAAGTCTATCAAACTCATTGTCACTCTGCAGATACTGAGGCCCGGCTCARGTGAGACCAAAATACTCTAGCAGTTTACTAACCAAAAAGAAACTTGCACCAAGGAAATCGTTTTTTTTTCAATAACTAAATAAGTGAAAGAAGTGGTTAAATTTGATAATCAGAAGTGTAAAAAAACACTGAAAATAAGATTTCTGTGTCTTCTTTCACATTCATCACAATTATATAATAAGAAATGGTATTTGCTTTTCATGTTGCATTATTCACTCTTAGAAATTACACTTAGAAATATTAGAAACTGTATTTGTCACAACGCTTAAAATTTAGAGTTTTTAGTTACTATCTGTTTTGTCAAAAAATAATTACTGTTCAGCATGATAGTATTATGCCATACAGTTTTAGAATTCATTTAAAAAGAATGCAATGCCAAGTAAAAGAAGATAAGACAACCTAACGTGATTGAATTAGTTACATTTTCTTCCCCAAACATGTTAAACAGAAAGGTTTGCAATCTTGGTTTTTATAAAGTAAATTACAACAATGTCATTCAAAGGCATCTTGAATATACAATGTATTTTACATACTTCAATTCTATACCACAATCATGTTACCATTTTTATGAAAATGCTCTATATCAAGAATAAATTTGACTTTGCATCGAAGTCTTTCTAAACACCTTGAAATTGGCCTGTCTTTTTAACAGCCCTGTCACACTATGACGTTTTGGACAACTTATCCATTTTTTCCCAACACGCTGGCACACGCTGAGGAAGACAAAAAAAGGCATCAATTAGCACCTTCATTGGGACGTGATCATACCGTGTTCATAACGACTTGAACAGACATAAAACCTACAGGTAAATTATCCTTACCTTAAACATAATGTGTACAAGCTTATTATAACGTGTTTGGACTTCTGCAGCATGTTTGTGCAACATTGGTGGAGTTTCTGCAGAACCTCTGCGCAGTGTGATGGAGGAAAATGAGATGTCAACAGCATCACACAGTGACGCACAGCATCAGTTTATGAAAAAATCTACAACACGTAGATGAAAGTTAAGCATACTTTTAGGATGACTTACCAACACGTTAATATAAAAGGGCATACGTTGTCATACGGAGATCCCTCCACAGAATTTTGAACATGCTCAAAATTTCCACCGTATGTGGAATGGTTGGTGATCAGTTTTACGCACATTTCAGGTCATTTCCAGGTCTGTTCCAGATCTGTTATTTATGTTTACACATGCTACATGAAGGTTACTCATACGTGGACATTTGTTAGAAATAATTATGAAGCAGACACGTAACTTCTGTCAGTATGTGTGGGCGTGTCCTTCGACGACTGACAGACAGCTGTCAACATGTCGGGGAAGAAGTCCAAGAGCGGGGCTCATAAAAAAATTGTATCTATCAGACTAAGTTTTAAAATATAAAAAAGAATCAGCAGAGGGCAGAACAAAGCTGGTTGCTATTTTTAAACCAGCTGACAGAAAAGATGATCCACAGAAATATTCTCACGCTCCATGAAGACAAGGTGGGCGCAGACAAAGCTGGTGTAGGGGTCACCTCGAGTGAACAGTTAACTAAGAATGTTTATGCATTTGTTAAATCATGCCTGTCACAGGAAAAGTGGAATGACTTCTTTTCTTTCATCGTGCCTTAAAGATTTATAATGGTATAAAAAAAATCACAGAAAATCTGATTACAATGTTTTCATTGTGTTTTTATGTAAATCACTGTTTTTATTTTACTGTGAACACAGTAATATAATTGTGGATTTTCTATTGAGAAAATCTTTCATTTAAATGAACTAAAAGAATGGTTCAAAGCTGATTATAAACAGAAATGTTAGTTAATTATCATAAATATTTTGCAGTGATTTCTTTTAGAATCTATCAGAAAGAAGCTAAAGAGGTTATCATGATGTTGTTTTACAACCACAGAATTTAACATTGACTGGCGCCTGCCTGCTAAGTCTCTATCTTTCTTTTCTGACTCATCTCTAAGCCTGAGGGCGGAACCAAAGTCGTCCATTCTTATTACTAACCTGGACGGCTTTGAGAAACACACTCTTCTTCCTGATTCAAACCTAGGAAGACAGCTGTCGTTCTTTTTTTTTTTTAAATACATAAGGATGGCCTCCCTTCTCCCCTTATAGCCATCCCCTCCACACCATTATGTTTTTTTTTGTGAAGAGAAAATAGAGAGAGAGAAAAACAGAGAGAGAAGTAANGACTTCTCATCCTGCGCTTCACACCTGAGCTACCAGAGTTTGGTCTCTAAAACTTAATTTTTTTATTAAATATATGTTCAGCATGTTATCAAACATATCTGTCCAACTTTGTGTGAATGACTATATTCCTCTCTCCTCATGGTAGAGCGCTGACACGGGAGCCTTTTAAGTCTTTCTCTGAAAACCATTCTGTGACACAGCTGCTCTGGGATAAATGTAATTCAATAGATGATTACGTGAGCTGAAACCCTTTAACTAATCTGTTTCAATAAAACAGTGTTTTTAAAAAGAAATCAGTCAGTCTAGCAAATAAAACATTTGTAGTTTTAAGTTATTCTGTGCAAAACACATATTTGCTGCTTGGACTGGAGAGTGTGGAACGCTGGTTTAACCAAGGCCAGAAGGCTAAACTACTGGAGTTGTCCATCTGAGGAGCATGTGTAGTCTAATAGAAATTTAACCATGAAATGTTCAGTTTGAGATATTTATGACATATGCCCATGGGCCAACCCCTCGGCCACTGTTAATTTACAAAAATCTCTGTGGACTGAAGATTGTCATGACATCCTGAGACGTTGCCAACTGATAGAAGATGTTGGGTGATGTTAAGATGCCCTGATGCCTCTCCAGATAAACATGTGAAATGAGTTGAGAAAAATCTGAGCATCAAGCAACAACCTCCCCTGAAAATCAGAAAATTTTTATTGCACCCCTGTTTATAGACACTTTCAATAAAGTCCATTCATCTCAGTAATTCAGTTCACTTCATGAAACACAATACATAAATAAATTATATACAGACAGATGATGTTTCAAAGCTTTAACTTTTGTTTCTGCTACCCTAATGAAAATATTTTAAATAAGATTAGATTACATAAGACCTATAAAAATGCTATTCATACATAAATTTAGATTTAAATAAAGTATGTTTATTATATGCTTTAAAAGCTAATTTCAAAGGGTATTTTTAATTTGAATGCATGTTCAATTTGTTGAATATACAGAGAATTCTAAAATCCCAATTCTAAGATTATTGTGTAGTTATTAATATTTAAAATAAGTATGATGTAATTTTGATATTTGCAGGTTTGGCATCTTTGCCTTAGCTGATTTCAGCTCTTTGGAACCCCGAAAGCTGAGGTTCCATTTTAGTCAGCCGTGGTTAGTTCACTGGCTTCAGAGGCGGGTATGGAAACGATTCTTTCAGTGGCTGCTCTCTACCCTGGTAAAAACCAGACCCTTGTTCTTAGCTTTTGCTTTGTACAGAGGGTCTGGACACTTGGCGATTGCTTGCTGGAGGCGTGGCCTCTCGAAGTTTAAAAACAATTGGATCGGTTGGCCACGACATGTGTGCGCCTGCGGCAGCTCCTCTGTGTAGGAGGCTAAGCTAGGAAG